AGAAAATTTCACCATTACTATTCAGTTACTACTGAAAGTTTCATATTGATTCTTATCATTTTGATGATTTTGTCAAGAAGCTCAAGCTGTTTTCTTGTTTAACTGTTTCTAATTTGCTCCATATTCTCTGATATAAAATACTTGTACAAGAAGCAATGTAGAAGAAAGTGCTTATTTGGCTATACTTTCCTTTTTTTCAATCTTTTTATTTGTTGGTTTAATTTTGCATTCCAAACACAGTTCTCCCTCCCACTCCATTCCCAACGCTTGCCTCCTCCCACTCCCATCATTTACCTCTAGCCTACCATAGTCCACTTCTCCTCACAGGTAAGGGCTACCATGAGGATTCAACATAGTCTAGCACAATATGTTGAGGCAGGGTCATTCCCCTCTCCCAAGCATTAAGACTGAGCATGGCATCTTACCATAGGGAATTGTCTTAAAAAATTAGCTCATGTACTAGTATTATATCATGGTCCTACTGCCACTGAACATGGCATTCCACCACAAGTAATGCGCACCAACAACTTAGCTCATGTACCAGGTTTTTATCATTGTCCTACTGCCAGGGGTCCCTCAGCTACTCCAAAATTCACAATTGTCTCCCACAAATGGAGGGCATGTTCAGTTCTCTGAAATTTTCCTGGTTGTAGTTCCAGTTCATGAGTTTCCACCCGCATGCTTCAACTGTATCTGTAGATTTCTCAATGATGATTTTGACCTCCCTCACTCATACAATACCTGATTACACATTTTGCATGGATTCTCAGAGCTCAGAATCATTCTTGGTTGTGAATCTCTGAATCTGGTTTCATCAAATTCTAGATGAGGTCTCTATGATGATAGATTGATGGTGGGGGAAGTCCTTCCATGTGTATGTTTGTTCGATTGGTTGATAAGTAAAGCACTGTTGTCCAATAGGGAAGCAAGATAGGTGGGACTAGGAGTCGAGGAGGATCCTGGAAATGTAGTCAGGAGTAGGGAGTCACTATGTGATCCTGGGAAGAGAGGACACGAGGCTACATCCTTGGTAAGATAAGACATTATAAAAATATATAATGGTAATTATGAGTTAATACTTAAGTCAGAGCAAGCCATTAAGGAACCATAACAAACAGCCAAAATGGTTTTTTAAAATCTCCATAGGCATTTCCTTCTTTAGGCTGGGAAGCATTTCTTCTATGATTTTGTTGAATATATTTTCTGTGCCACTGAGCTGGTGTTTGTCTTCTTCTCTCCCTATTATTCTCAGGTTTGGTCTTTGTGTTTCTCTCCTGCCAGTTTCAATGTACTTTCTTTATTAATTATCATATTATATAGTGACATTATTTTCTGGTCTTGTCTATGAAATGTCCTAAATTCCTCCAATATCTTTTCTAGCAAAACCTACTTATAGAGAAAATGGTTTATTTTGTTTACAACTCCTGTTTCAAGGTATCTTTGTTCTAAATGAATTGTCTCATGTGTTTCATACAGCATTAATACTGTAATGATTTTCCTTTCTAAATATTGTCCCACTTATTATGATCTAATATGCATGAGTATATAAGTATCTGTGTAGGTACACACATCTCACAAAACTTTTGTTGGATCCCAAGAATAATTTTGTGGAGTCAATCATCTACTTCTAATTTATGTGGGTTACACATAGAGATTTATAAGATAAATATTTTTACCCATTGTCTTCTCATAACTGTATCATTCCTTTTGGTACCTCTATCTAATTTGCAATTTACTGTTTAATTTTTTGCACTAGTTTCTATTTTTCATTGTGCAATATATCTTACTCTTTAAAGTTATGTCTTTGGGAACTTGAGAGATGGCTCAGTGGTCAAAAGCACATGAAAGATCTTAAAGGAGGTCTCTTTGCTTAATGATAATTTCTAACCTCAAGTTTCTAGGGCCTTGCATATTGCCTCAATATCCATATATAAAATCTTGTCTCTCTCTCTCCATCCATCCCTAATCTTCCTTTTCACCATCTCTTTTTCTCTCCCTCTCAATCAGGTGATTCATTCCCCTCAAACTGTTGATTGATTCAATTGTGTCATACAAACTTGAATACCTTTATTATATTTACCTCAAAATGTTGCTGTATTGATGGGAAACATTGCTTCAAACACCATATAAGATACCATTTTTCTGTCTCTGTCACTGAATCTTTCTGTCCTCCTAGCACGCTTCACCAAGAGTCAGGTACTTACTTTTATGCTTGTTGAACATTACTCTTCACTAAGACACAGTTCTTGTGGGTGTTTATTTTTGTTGGATACATCTACTATGTCTCCTTTCTTGATACATATCAATTAAAATGAAAGAAAATAATAAATATGTAGGCAGAATAGGATGATGTAGGCCTGAAATCCCAGAAATAATGTTGTGGAGACAAGTAAATCAATAGTTCAAGGCCATCCTGGTCTACATACCACAACTTGTGGGCATACCTTTTGCAATCCCTGTCCCCAAACAAACAAGTATATTTAAAACAACTTACAAGGCAGAACCACTGTTAGTTATTATATAGATATGCATTTTGCCTTATTTTTGGTGCCATTGCTAATGATCCTTGTTTTGTTTTGCAACAGGATCTGTTTGGCATATGTGTGATACCACATTTGGCTTTGCTTTTAGTTTGCTTTTTATGTGTCTCTATATGTGTGTTTATGATGTGAATGCAAATGGGTAAATGTTGGTGTACTTGTGCTAAAGATAGATGATAATATCATGTGTTGAGTCTTAAATTCTGCCATATTTTATACAGTGTCTTTCTTCTTGTTTATCCCTGTCTGTGCCAGATTAGCAGGTCCAAAGATTCTGGGCATTCACCTTTCTGTACATAGCATGACATAGAAGGACCACTATGGTAACAGAAGGACACCGAATTACCATCTTTTAATGATTCCTAAAGATTGAAACTCAGGTGTTCTCACATGCAAGGCAAATACTTTCCACTGAGCCAGCAAGTGAGCCAAGCTTTTAATCTTTATGTTATTTAATTATGCCTTGTCTTAAGCAATTCTTTTCCTCTCTAGAACATCTCTGTAAATCATTTACCCCCAGACTCTAATCAAATCTTATATTCCTTGAATAATTCCTACTAGTTTATGCATCATCGTCTCTCCTCACTTGATTCAGTTCTTTTTTCATATAACATGGAACAAAGCAAGTGTTTAGTGAAGACTGAGATATGAAGAGAAACTACAACCAATCCAGGAACAGTGAAGATACTGTGACTGTTAAAATAGCATTACAGTATCTCTGGGAATGTAAATAAAGCTTTGGGTGAATGTGAAAGGCTGTGTCTGGGAAGTCTCCTGTTTTCTGTACTTTGGTGACTTGGGTCTTCAGGAGAAGTAGTGGAACCTAACATGTGAATGGGAGGATCTTCCACAGAAAGGGTTATGGTTTTTCTTAAGGTATGATGATAAAGAAAACTTCAAACATGCCCACACCACTCTGGCTATCTTTTGTTTTGATCACTATTCACCAATTCATGTGTCTGTCATTGCAACTTGCCAGGAGAATGTCTTCTCATGGTGTCAGAAGTAAGACTTTAAGGAGAACGGTTTGCTAATCAACTTGATTTCATCAGCTCATCAACTGTGTGTGTGTCAAATGTCACTACCATAAGAACAAGCCTTCAGCAGCAAAAAGATTGAGGGAAACCCACTGATTCAGTGAAAAGAATCATTCCACTTTTATTTTCCTTCTGAGGGATAAAACTTAATATTCTGGAGCCAGCAAGGGAGCTCAAAGTAACTCTCTGGGAATGTAATGAATGGAAAAAATGTGCACACTTTGGTGTCTTTACACCTCCTTTTCTCTGTATTGTTCTTCCTTATCTTTTACACATTATATACCACCACAAAATCTTTCAGACACTACAAAAATCATGGTGTGGTGTCCTTTTATTTTCAATTAAATTATTATGAGTATACATAAAACACATGGTTTCCATATTCCTTACATGATCAAACATCCTATTATAAATGAAAACAAATTATTCCAAGAACACAGATGTGATCATATCTAAACAACTTATTATAGATTAATAAAGTATATACCACAAGGTATTTTCTCAGCCAGTTCTTTTACTAGTTCACTGAATTTTGCAGTTACAAAGAAAGGGTAAAATTCTTTATTTTTTATATTAAAAGATAATCTTAGAAGGATAATTTAAAGAGTCACAAAACTAAAATTTATATATGAAAAACACTCACTCATCTCTATTTTAAATCCACATGACACATATCCATTCTTCCACATATTTTTATATGAGGAGGATGATGGCAAAAATATCCATAAGGAATTAAACAACATATTTGATCCTCAACCCATTCTCACAAGAAAGGCTCATCTGCTAATAGTAACTGGGCTGCTTTGTTCTTGTTCCTTCACAGAGTTCCTCATCAATGAGTCCCTCATTCAGCCATGAGCCTTTCTAAATTTTGGACTATTTCTCCAGGTTCTTCACATCAATGCTATTAACAATAACATATGAACATAAACTTAAGTCATGTTTATAATTTAATTTTAGCTATGATGCACACTGAAAGTCATGAACACATCTCTCAACATTAAAGTTAAAAAGCCTTAGATAACTTAGCTTATGGATCACAATTGTTTTCTTCATCAGTAACCTAAGGTACAGTCTATATGTCTTCTCAAGAGAAAATAACACTGTGATATATCATTATTCTTATTTTGTATCTTCTGCAGCCCATGCTGTATCACAGGCAGGCATAAAAACCATATCTTGCTTTTACCTATATTAGCTTTTCCACTAAGGGTTGCTTTCTGGTGGACCAGGTTCCTGAAATTTTTATTGCCACCTGGTGATCCTGTGACATGGCCATCAGCAAAATGTCACAATGAATAATGTAAATAATAGTTTGATTTTTACTAGTAAAATTATCTTCCATATGCAGAAAAGGTAAGATTATCAGGCAGATCTCACATTCATTGTTAGTAATCAACACTTTCTTTTTCACTTCACACAGTGGCATATGGATCATGGTTTGAGCACACTTGTGGCTGGCTGTCCATGAAAGAAAGGGAAAACTTCCTGCTGCTGAGCTATGAAGACATGAGAAAGGTAACTGCCACTCTTACAGCAACCATGCACCTCTCACCAACTTACTCCATGCAGTACCACACATTCCTCCAAGTCTCCATTCCACCTATTTTGTCCGGGTTGACTCGTGAAGAATTCCTAAAGGTGAGATTATGCCCTGTGTCCTTTTTTGACCTGCATATGGCATTTCCTATTGAGCCTATTTGTCCATTACCATCATCTTCTATACCCGACTCCACCCTGAGTTAGAGTAGGATAGCTCACACTCACACTACAGACTTTTTAAAAATTATTTTTATGCACTACATTCCATACATCTGGAAACCTAGTGGTGAGTGTCAAATGTGTAAAGCAGGGTCATTCCATTCTTGTGCCCAAATGCATCCATCACTCTTTGATTACAAGAAGAAGCATAAAGTCATGAAATTCATCTCTGAATCCTGGGAGAGTACAAGTGCTTGTGTCACATGAACAGTACTGAGCAAGGCTCAAATATGACCAGGTGTGTACAGAATGTGACCAATTAGGAAGAATGGTGTCCTCCACAGTTCGCTACAGAGTGTATGCATGGCAGACTAGGATATACTAGAGATTCCAAAACATTTTATAGAAGAAAATAAAAATGTTTTAATATTACATATTGGCATATGTGTAAATAGACTGATAGGCTACACCCTTATCTGATCATGGCAGGTTTCATTTAATTTGATGTTTCCCACACAAAGTTGGAAATATTGTTAAGTACTTTGTGTGTGACTAAAATATTTCTTATATTAAAAAAATCTTGGCAGAGTGCTATATGACTGTAAACATGGCTCTGGGATATAGAGACAGATTCAAGGGCTCTAGGTCATGCTTGGTTGTATGGTGGTCTTGTGGTCAACATGGGATATAAGAGACATTATTACAAAAGACCATTAAGAAAAAAATTTAGTTCATTTGTGAATTGTATTTTCATTTAGTCAAAAATGCTTTCTCTAACAATAGAAATATAATGACACAAAACATATAAGATCAGAAATATTCTTATTTGATCAGCAGCTCAAATGTTTAAGTAGTTTGGAAGTTATGGGTGAAAGGTATCCACCATTTACATATCACAGATAAAGATATCAATTTTACTTTTAACGGCACAAGAGAAATTGCACTTAGCACACAATCTGTCAGAGAAAATACTAGCTCATCATTAGCACTTTTCAAAAATTTAGTTAAGAGGGATAAGAAATAGTATTATAGCTATTGTTTATCTTATAGAAATAGACTCTGGTGATGATGAAGGTTTCTGATACTTGCACGTTCTTTGTTTTTGTTTTCACTTTTCTCACTGTATTTTTAGTGTTTAAAATATTTTTTAAAGTTAAACGTATTATGCTCGTATTATTTCCCTCCCATGATTCCTTCCAAATATCATCCCTGTCCTTACCTAACCTTAAATTATTTCTCAACAAATATAAAAATAAAGTAATAAAACAATCTTGCCCCAAATAAGAAAACACTGAAAAAGAAAAAAGTTAAGACACTGAACTGTAACCAAATAAAGGGACACATGCACACAAAACTGTGAAGTATCCAGTTATTGTTTGGCTACTGCAGTGAGTTTCATTCTTAGCATATGTTTCTTTTATATTTTATTTTATATATTTTTTAAATTTTTTTCCTAGCATACCTTCCATGTACTACATCATTGTAGAGCAAAGGATTTTTTTTGTTTTACAAGACAGGGTTTCTCTGTTTTGGAGGCTATCAGTCCAGCCTGGCCTCGAACTCACAGAGATCCGCCTGCCTCTGCCTCCCGAGTGCTGGGATTAAAGGCGTGCGACACCAACGCCCGGCCGAGCAAAGGATTTTTAACTGGCTTCATGTTTACATTTCTCTTTTGACAGTGTACAGAGTAACTTCCTATAACAAGGTGCTGAAAGTAGGGATAAAAGCAACATCTCCATGTTGAATGAGTTATGCAGGTGTTGTATTTAGCAACAGGGACTTGCTGTACATTTTTGTAGAACAACCTGTAGTCTTAGCCTGTGTTGTTTAGGGCTTTGCATAGGATACCTTTGACCAACCATTCAATTTGATGTACCCAATATCAGTATTGTAAATCTCATTTGGTGACAAGAAATGGCCATTTGGAACACCATCTCCCCCATTAGTTTATATTATTTAGATTGCGTTCGCACGTGTGGTGTGTGTATACACACATACATAAGAAGTTTCCCCCTTATTGGATTATAAATATGGTCCTTCAAAATTACCTTAATTGAACTATCTCTCTATATTCACTCCGTCAATCTCTCTTATTTAACCCTCCCCACTTGATCAACCATCCTGTCATTGTCTATTCTTCAATAACTTTTCTGCTGTATTAGGTTTTTAATTATTAGGAGCTGATTGGATTTTATTTCCCTATTCAGTCTATTTGGTGTTCTGTATGCTACTTTTACTTGTATATGCATCTCCTTTAGGTTAGGACATTTTTCTTCTTAGATTTTATTTAAATTATCTTGGGTGCATTAGATCTATGTTTTCCTTCTTCCTCTATTCTTACTATTAGATTTAAGGTATTCATAATGTCCCAGAAATCCTGAGTGATTTGACAGGAATTTTTTGGATTTCACATTTTATTTGAACAATGTATGTGTTTATTCTATGCTTTCTTCAATGCCTGAAATTCACCTATCACTGATATTAAGTTCATAAAGCTCAGAACTGTGGTTCCTTTTCTAGTTCCTAATTTTTTTCTTAGCATTTTTCTTTCATTTTGGATTTTCTTGAGTGATTCCATTTATAATTTCAGGATTTAAATGGCTCTATTAATGACTTTCCATTGTGTTTTTATATATTTCTTTATGGATTTTGTACATTTCCTCTTTATAGACTTCTAGCACCTCCATACAGGCTGCTTTAAGGTACTTTTCGTTGTACCTATTCTGTTGTAATAGGATTTCTGCGCACAAGTGAAGACAGCCTGTCCTGCGTATTATTGACTGTGATTTTTAGGAGGGATATTATGCAAACATCTGTGGTTGGGAATATTGAAATTCTAGGTCTTGTTGGGTTGTTGCTTCCTTGCTCATTATTTGTTGCTTGTCTGGTACTTAGGGGTGTAATGCAACTGTGTGTTTCCTGGTGGAAAATTCTTCTGAGATCATGATGAGTGAAGCCTCTGGTATTTCAAGTAAAATGATTTTTCTGGATAGAGAAAGAAGACACTTATGAATGAGGATTAGCTATGGTGGCATAATAATGTCCAGAAGAGGGAGGAATGCAGAGTTTCCCACAGGTTCTGCTTAGTCACCTGTGAATTGTACAATGACTGAGGACATGCAGCCACAGGTGGTTTGATGTAAAGCTGCTGATGAGATTGAGGATTGGACTTGGAAGAATGGAGGGATAGCTGAGGGTCTGCAGTTAGCCTACCTGCTTTCCTAGTAGTAGCCTGTGGGTTCTTAGGGAGTATCCTCTGGAATTCAATTCTAGGACAAAGCAATATGTATGGAAAAGGAATTTTGGAGGTTAAGATCTATGTGAGCCACTTCAAACAGAGGAATTTGTGGAGGGAGGCTGCACCAGATGTTCTACACAGAAGTGTAAATGAGACTACAAGACTGGACTTCGGTGAGCAAATTGAGAGGAAAAGATCTGCATTTAGCCTACCTGCTTCCCTGCCCAGCTTTACCTATGGGTTCCCAAGGAATGCTTTCTCCTTTCATGATGTCATTTCCTTCTTCATGTCCCTATTTTTCTTCAGATATTTCAAATTTAAATTAGAAGCAAGCTTGTTTTACATGTCAATTCCAGTTCCCTCTCCCTCACATCCTCCTATTCCTCCACTAGGCCCCTATCTCATCCTCTTACTGGTCCCTAGTGAATTTGAGCCCTTCCATGCGGGAATCTTCAAAGTGTGTCATATCACTTGGAGCAGGTCCTTTGCCCCCCTGTGTGTCTAGGCTGAGAAAGTATCCCTCTATGTGGAATTGGCTCACAAAGTCCATTCCTATACTAGGGATAATACTGATCCACATTCAGAGGCCCCATAGATTGTCCAGGATTACTAACTGATACCCACAATCAGGGTATCTGGGTCAGTACTATGCTGGTTTCCCAACTATCAGTCTGGGGTCCATGAGATCCACCTTGTTCATGTCAGCTGTTTCTTTTGATTTCTCCAGCCTGGTCTTGTCTCTTTTCTCATCACTCTTCCTGCTCTGCAACAAGATTCCAGGACTTCAATTCAGTGTTTAGCTGAGGGTGTCTGCTCACATTATCTACTGAATGAATGCTCTAGGATGACATATATATAACATAGGCATCAATCTCATTATCTGGGAAGGTGATTTACGGGAACCTCTCCACTATTGTTTAGATTGTTAGTTGGCATCATCCTTGTAGGTCTCTGGACATTTCCCTAGTGCCAGATTTCTCTTTAACCCTATAATTGCTCCCTCTATTTTGGTGTCTCTTTTCTTGCTCTCCTCTATTCTTCCCCTGACTCAACCTTCCTGCTCCCTGTGTCCTCTTCTCACCTCCTCTTTTCCCCTTCTCTTTCTGCTAAGGCCCTCTTTCCTTCTCCCATGCTGCCAATTTTCTCAGGAGACCTTGTCTCTTTTTCCTTCTCCTCGGGACCATGTATGTATCTCTTAGGGTCCTCCTTATTTCCTACTTCTTCTGGTGGTTTGGATTGTAGGCTGGCAATCCTTTGCTCTATGTCTAAAGTCCCTTTATGAGTGACTTCATACCATGCTTGTTTTTTTTTGTGAGTGGGTTCCCTCGCTCAAGTGGGTTTCTTCTAGTTCCACCCATTTGCCTATGAATTTCAAGATTCCATTGGTTTTTCTTTTGAGTAGCATTCCATTGTGTAAATGTACCACATTTTCTCTATCCATTCTTCAATTGAGGGGCATCTAGTTTGCTTCAAGGTTGTGGCTATTACAAATAATGCTATGAACATAGTTGAACAATGTCCTTGTTGTATGAATATGCATCATTTTCTTACTTACTTTTTGTTTATTCTTTATTTAGGATACAAGGAGAACCATAGAGAAGATCTGTGACTTCCTGGGAAAGAAGTTAGAGCCAGATGAACTTGAAATGGTCCTAAAGTACAGCTCCTTCCAAGCCATGAAAGAAAATAAAATGTCCAATTATAGTCTCGTGACAGAAAATTTTTTCCTCATGATTTTGTCTTCATGAGAAAAGGTGAAGAAATCTTCTAACTTCAAAATATTTCAGAACAGTTGGATGGACTTGTTGTTCCAAGGAAACTAAGAAAATTTAGGAATATTTCATAATTCATTGTAAATCAAATCATAGATTCTCAAAGGCCTTATAGGAGAAATTTTCCATGCTGGTCATGTGGGCTTCAAGAACTCTGAAATTTGATTTGTTCTAGGAGAGAACTTAAGGAATGTAGAGGATTATGCCAAATACTTTCAATAGTAGACATATTTCAATGAGGCTCTGTTAGTCTTCCTGTATCTTAAACATCACCTGTAAAGAAAATGTATAATACATGTGTCCAAAGATATATTTGGAACAATAACCACAAAAAGCACTTCCATTAACAGCTGGAAAATATGATGAACATGTGCAAAGGTTGTTGACCCACACTATAAACACCAAATGAATTGCAATATGATTGCATTTATCAACCTAAATTTGGATTGTTTCAGACTCAGGGCTATTCTATGTTTTACTGGATTGTCTCTCCTAGGATGGCAATATCCATCTTATCTATGTCTGTGCTCCATATCTATGCTAGTAGCAGATTGTGGTTGTCTTTTCATAGCTGTAATATTGAGGATGTATTTTATCCAGAAATGAATCACACCTGGAGACTCACCTCACATAATTAGCAAATAAGTGTTTATATAGAGCTCAGGTTTGAAGAAGAAATGAGTCAGATGCTCATATATTTTTGGACGAGTGTAGATGTTGGACATACAGGCAGCATGTGGAGATCTATGGGCTTAATTTTCTTCTCCCAATACTTTACATGTTTCATACTTAACATTCATTCTTCCTCTACCATAGACTGTAAAGATCAGGTCCTAGGATTTAAAGACATGAAGAGTATAAATTTGAAAAAGTAAGTTAACAGTTGTCAGCAGGTTACATTTAATACAATACTCTAATGTCCTCACAGGAGGAAGTCTGGACTCATATTTCTGCACACATACATGTCACCTCAAGAATATGGTCATCTGTACACTAAGGACTGAGGTCACTAGAAGAATCTACTGCTGTTGGCAGATAACCTGTTGTGTTCCAAACTCTATGGAGATAGAGTTTTCTGCACTAGAGCTTCAGGTCTCAAAATGAAGAGCAGTTGTTCATTATAGGATTTGCTGTAATGAAACAGTTCCATGAGGACAACTGTCATGTTTTTCCAACTAGATTCTTCAGGATGAGACCACAATGGGATTTTAGTTTAGTGTCTTTCAAAATATGGTATATTACATGTACCTTATACATTAGAAGGAAATAAATATATGTATCAGTTATGTCAAAAAACATGATCTAACTCCATAAGTCATACATAATTTAATTATCATAGTGATTATATGTGACATCACTTCTTTTGCATTTGAAGGTAACTTATATTTTAAAAGATTATTTTCATTATACTAAAAATTTATAAGTCATGATTCTCACTGGAAACCAGGTCATTTAGGGGAGAGGCCAATTGCATTACCCACCTCTCCCTGACTCATGACTTGAGGATAGGGGATGATGATATGGATATGCTGTGAAACATTTTGAAAAATGAAATGCTTGAGAATACTTTTGATGTTTTCAAGTCTTACACATTATTGGTTTCATTTTTCAGTCATGAATGTATGAGTAGATCAAAGTTTAATTCATTTCTTATCATTACATACCTAATTAACTAAAGTCATAATGCATGAAAGGCTGTGTTATGTGTTAAGCTGGACTAAGCTGGGAGGCATTTTCTATCTCTATTTTCATTGTGCTTTAGTTGCTCTTCTCAGGGAACAAAAAATACCTTGTCTTGCCTCTTTGAATTTTTACTTTTGTTTGGAAGATTTGGTCATCTGAGTAGTTAGGATTAATATGCTTTTAAACATCAAACAAAAATTTTCCAAAAACACTTTCAGTTATTATGATTTCATATTTATATACAGAAGAAAATGCAGAACAGAGAGATGGTCATTACAATATTCCAGTTCAGCCATGTTTAGTTGACATAGCTCTTTTTTTCTTTTTTTAGTCTTTTCTTTTTTCATTTAAATGAGAGACAACCTTGCTTCATGTGTCAAACCCAGGTCTCTCTCCCTCCCCTCCTCCACTACATTCTTCATTCAGCTCCCCATTTCCCACTCCACTATCCAGGGAGAGTGAGGTTCTTGATGGGGGATCTCCAAAGTATGTCATATCATGCAAGACAGGGCCTATGACCCTCCAGCATGTGTCCAGGCTGAGACACCATCCCTCCATGTGGAATGATCTCCCAAAGTCCATCTGGATTCCAGGGATAAATTCTGATCCATTGCCCGAGGCCCAAAAGAATGCTGAGGACTCCTCACTGACACCCACTTTCAGTCCCATTCTGGCCTCTCAGCTATCAGTCTGGGGTCCATGAGCTCCCCTTGTTCAGGTCAGTTTTTTCTGTAGGTTTTACCTGCCCAGGCTTGGCCCCTTTACTCATGACTCCTACCAGTCTACAACTGGTTTCCAGGAGGTCATTTCAGTGTTTAACTCTGGGTGTCTGCCTCTGCTTCCTTTAGACACTGGATGAAGTACTCTACGATGACATCCAAGGAAGTCATCAATGACATTTTTGGGGAAGAGCATTTAAAGTAGACTCTCAACTATTGGTTAGATTGGCAGTTGGTGCCACTCTTGTAGGTCTCTGGACATCTCACTAGTGCCAGATCTTTCTTCAAATCTATAATAGTTCCTTCTATTATGGTATCTCTCATCCCGCTTTCCCAACTCAAACTTCCTGCTCCCCTGTGTCCTACTCTCCTCTCCCCTTCAATCCCTCTATTTCTCTCAGGTTCCTCTCCTCTCTGCCTCATGCTCCAAATCCTCTCACGAGATTCTGTCCAGTTGCCCTTCTCTAGGGTAAAATGCATATCTCTCTTAGGGTCCTCCCTGTTTCCCAGACTCTCTAGGTGTGGGATTGTAGGCTTCCACTCCCATTTTTCATGCTTAAAATCTATATATGAGTGAGTACATATCATGCTTGTCTTCTTGTGACTGGGTTACCTCACTCAGGGTGGTTTCATCTGGTGCCATCCATTTGCCTGAAAATTTCAAGGTTCCAGTTATTTTTTCCACTGAATAGTACTCCATTGTATGAATGTATCACATTTTCTCTGTCCACTCTGCAGTGGAGGGGCATCTAGTTTCTCAGGTCTAGTTACAAGTAATTCTGCTATGCAATAGTAGAACAGATGTCATTGTTGCATGAATGTGCATCTTTGGGATTTATGCCTATGATTGAAAACTCTGGACTCCTGTGATAGACTGATTTCAATTTTCCTGAGAAATCTCCATACTTATTTTCCAAAGTAGGTGTATTCGTTGGCACTCCCACCAGCAGGGGAGGAGTGTTCCCCTTTCACCACAACTTCTCCAGCATAAACTGTCATTTGTGTTTTTGATTTTAGCCATTCTGACAGGAGTGAGATGGTATCTCAGAATTGTTTTGATTTTCATTTCCTT